TGTTTAATGTTATTTTTTTTTTTTGTACTAATCAAAATTTAAATAATAAAAATATTAATATTATTTCCAAATAGTTGATGAAACGGTATTTTTTGGTTCTTTGAAATAATAATCGTAATTTTTAATTATTAAGAATTTTAACAAGAAAATTTGTTTTTGTTCTAGGGAATGACATAAATTATAAATAAATTAATATCTCGATCACTCTAAATACTAATCAAATTGACCGTAAATTGAGGACATTGCAGTTTTTTCTAGTTTCATTTGATTATGATTGAGATACTATTTAGGGTATAATGCAATTTTTATCACAATAGTAGTATTTGTTTGAGATTATTTTAAAAATAACTAATTGTATATTTATGTATTTTGAAATTTATATAATGTGAATTCTTATGAATAGAGTATGTACTCAACTAACTTCGATCATAGAGGGAGAAGTATAATCATGTATGACGATACTTCTCATACTTCCTAATATATAACGATTTTTAAAAGAAAAAAATTTCACAAATTAATTGTCTTAATTTTTACTTAAAATATTCTCAACTCATATTTTAGAGAGGGGATACTTATTATACAATTTGGAAAAAAAATTATATTCTATAATAAAAAAGGGGACTTGAAACTATATTTTATTCTTAAATAATTTTTTCCGAATATTATGAAGTATTCCAATTGAAATTGCAATTTAATTATGAGAACTTTGTATAAAATGATATCAATTGATAATGACATAATAACATTGAATGTAAATCTACATACATTATCACTAATTCTTTTTTAATAAAATCTTCTTTACCTGGAATGCTAATAAATAAAATAATATTTCTTAAGGAGTAAATGAATTATCATATATAATATATTGTGACCTTAGTATTTTTAGTTAGGTGAATATTTGAATTATTAAAATTATCAAAAAAAAATTCTAGTTAAAAGTACTTATTGAAAAAATATAATAACAATCAAGTAATGCATTTAATGAAGATAGTGAAGGTTGAATGAAAAGTGGGGTCCACCTAGAGAATTTAATAGCTTATGGGCACGTTAGTTTTGGGTTTTCCTGATATTAAGAACCCACAATCAAACTTTTTGAGCCTGGTATACAAACAAACAATGCACTAATATATTTAAAATGACTATTATGCCCTTGGTCAACTTCCTCTTCTCTCTTCTAAATTCTACTAGATGAGGAAAGGCCCATATACGGGCCCAATATTGTAATCTTAAAATTGTTGTTTATCGGTGCTCAATTAATTTTTTGATAAATAAATTGATCGTTGTTATATCCATTTAATAACTGATAGAGGATGATATTGGGGATCACAATTTATAATTAATTTATTTTAATAATTTACAAAAAATTAAACTATAAATTATAACCTGCTTAAGTTGCTCTAATTATTAACATAAAAAGACTTGTGCTATAATACTCATTTTAACATCAATGTCAAATATAAACATCAAATTGTAAAATTGATTGAATAGGTATTATTTCCCCACTATATTTGAATTAACAAGATAATACATTAAAGGTACAAGTGTAATTTATATTAATAATTTTTTCTACAATAAAAAACTTACCGATCTATTTGTAAACTAATTTTGAATACATCCAATTTTGATCTGCAAGTGTTTCATAGTGGGAACAATTAGCTACCTGATGAAAGTTAAAACGAACAACATCTTCTTTACAATAACGAGAAAAGTTTAAAAAAAAAACTTATGATTTTACTTTATGTCTTGTATAAAATAAAACAAGAGAAATTTTTAGTACAGTCAACAAAGAGAACTTTCCAAAGGGACTGGCATCCCTAAAGAGGCAATTTACTACTTAAACAAAGAGAACCAACTGCACTAAACAAATATTAACATAATATAAATTGTTGTAATTCAATATAGTAGTTCAAATTATATTTTATATATAACTTGTTAAAATGATGTTATTGGTGATAAGATAATAAATATCTGATAGAAGTCTATATAAAATTATAAGGTTCTAATTTTTTCTTAATATAAGGATACAAGAGAAATGTTTTTATTTTTCTATTAGATTTATCGTATGTTAATTTTTATAATGAATGATATAAAATATTTTAAGACATTTAATAGATGTTGAAAACTTATCATGGAAGAATGGAGTTCAAACCATATAAATTAAATTTTCACGTCAATTAAGTACATAAGAAATAACCTCCTAGAACAGATGAATAAATATCATCACTTAAATTAGCTTTTAAGGTTTAACAAACTATAGCTTTTAAAGTTACTTTTGAATATAAAACTTTTAGGTTTGAAATCGCCTTCAAATAGTGTGAATACATGAAAACCTTCAATTTTATTTTAAATTGGGTTAAAATAGTATGGGTAAATATGAAATCTTGTAATATTTATCTATATTTCTTTTTGTTGCTTTACTATTTAAAAATTAAATTACTTTTTCTGTGAAACTTTTATTTACTAAAACAAAAATTAATAATTTTATCAAATGAGAAAAAACATTCAAAGTGAGTGTTGCATGGAGTAACCTATGCAAAATTAGTCTATCAACAGTACATTTAAACTTTTAAAAGGAGCGTTGTGGGTCAAGGGAATGTGGGGTCCACCTATATCAAGGAGGACACACTTTGCATTTAAGAAATACAAACAATACAATAAATTTTTCGAAATGACATATATGCCCTGGTGCATCTTTCCTTTTCTATATAATAGAAAAAATCTAATAAATAATATAAACTAGTAAGATACCCCGTACTGCGCACGGCCCAATAACACTGCTAAACAGTAGAGTATCGTTATAAAAAATATATATTATATTATTATCGATCCCAAAACTATTATCTGAAAAATAAATTTTAAAAGGAACTTGTTTTCACGATCAGTTGCACTAGATAGCATGACAAATTTTGTCAAACTTATAATATACTGTCGATATAAATTTTACATCATATCTAACTTTAGTTTTCATTAATAATTCAAATAAAAAATATAATTTTTTCAAAGGGAAATGCTTAGTTCAAATAATAAAGATAGCTAGATTTGGCGTGACAACCACCAAAAATATCACGACCTGGATTTTCTACCTTCGGGTGGTTGTTGATGACGCCTATTAGTGAGAAGCTAGACAAGCCAACCATCGAATCATTTAACCTTGTTTCCATTTTAATTCCTTAACAATTAAAGAACTAACATTTAATAAAACAACATATTAATAAGCAGAAGACTGAAATGAAATGTTTTAATAAAATACTATCAATACCAATCCGTAACAAAACTTACCCAAGACTGGTTGACAATTTCACAAAACTATCTAGGAGTACTACAAATAAAGGTCTGAAAAAGTAATAACAACACTGTCTCTGGGAATACATGAAAAGAACAGGATAAAAAGATAGAAGGAGACGCCAAGGCCTCGCGGACGCCTGCAGGACTACCTCGGGTCGCCTGATGAACAAGAACAGCAATCGCAATGCGGTCGAAAGCCTATAGCACCGAGATCTGCACAAAAGAGTGCAGAGTGTAGTATCAGCACAACCGACCCCATTGTGCTAGTAAGTGCCTAGGCCTAACCTCGGCGAAGTAGTGACGAGGCTAGGACCAGACTACCAAATAAACTTGTGCAGTTAAATCATATACAGCGTAAAATAAAAGCAGGAATGTACAGTTAAGGAGGGGAGGGGAAACATGCTCGGGGGACCATCAAATGATAACACGAAGAATCAAAGTAAATACAAGAACACCATAACTCAATTATCAACAAGAATCAGAAATAAAACAAGTGCACGGCATCGACCCTTCGTGTTTTTACTCTCGTCCTCACCATAAGAATACAATATAATCTGCCACGGCATCACCCTTCGTTACTTTTACTCTTCATCCTCACCATAAAAATCAATATAATCTGCACGGCATCACCCTTCGTGTTTTTACTTTCGTCTTCACCATAAAATCAAATAACGGCACGCGAATTGTACATCGTGCGGCACAGCATCACCTTCGTGCTTTTACACTCTTCCTCATAAAATCATACACGGCATCACCCTTCGTGCTTTAACACTCTCTCACCAAAAATAATGCACGGAATCACTCTTCTTGCTTTAACGCTCTTCTCACCCAAACAACAATCACAAGAAATAAAGGCAAGAAATAAATGAAATCACGACAAAATCCCGCAAGCGGAACAATTAGTACAACAATCAAACCCCGCGAAGGGA